GCTTTGGGCAGCAAGGAGCCCAAACCTCTCACTGTTGCGGGAGAAAAGCTGGGAATCGGACGGGAGAAAAGCTGGGAATCAGATGGGAACGGGCTGCAGGACCAGAGAGGACGGCAGACCTGGGCCGCGGCCTCAGCCCCCGACTCCTCGTAAGTGTGGGCTGGGTGCACACATGGCAGTGGCGAGCAGTGCTTTGGAGCTCATGTCCTCAGACCCTAGTGGGAGCTGAGAGCAGCCCAGCAGCGCTGATCTGGGGCCATGCACACAGGCCAGGCAGAGGTGAGACCAGGGAGTAGCAGCGCCGCAGGTGCAGAGGGCAAGAGGGGGCAGAGCTGCAGCACAGGAGTGAGTCTGCTGGCCCTTCCCGCAGGCACCCTCCCTAGTGCCAGGTCTGCTGGGACTCCAGGCTGTTGGGATGCCCCCTAGGGTGCTGCTTGGAGCCTTCCTGACCCTCCCCCTCCAGTGCCTGTGCTGGGCTTCCTCTCCACTCACCCTGTCCTCCCTGTACCCCACGTAGCCTACACATCAGCGTATGTCCGTCCGCCTGCCTATCTGCCCCCTCCCTCACCGGCCTGTGTGCCCAGGGGAAGGCTCAAGGCCAGTCACGCTCCACCTCCCTGACCAGCCCAGCCCTAGCCCATGGTGCATTTCCTGGACAGGACTGCTGAGTTTTCAGTTTTAGCCACAACAGCACCCACACCTGCACCAACCAACCTGTCCGTGCCACAAGTATCGGTTCCTGCCCTCCTCACGGGAGCCTGTGGCACATGCTATTATGACCTCGGTCTAGAGGCAGGGACACCAAGGCACAGGGGCTTAAGGAAGTTGCCTGAGGCCACGTGGCTGGTAGGGGGTGGAGCCACGTTTATCCTCATGGCCAGATGAGGAAACTGAGGCAGAGAGCTGTTTTGCCAGGGGGCTAATTTACTGATCCAGCCAGCCGTCTGGTTCTGTCTCTGTCTCGCTCGGAGGGCCCCACCTGCCCAGCTTGCCGTGCCCTTGGCCAGGGCCAGCAGTCTCAGAGGCAGAGCTGCTGAGAGAAGCCTCTTCCCCTCATGACGTCTGTCCTCCAAGAGGGATCTGAGTAAGCACGGGAGCATCAGCAGCCTCGAGGGGACCTTGGACCCCTGCCCACCCTTCATTCTGTACCAGGACAGGGTGTGTCTGCACAGCCTGGAGCCAGGCGTGGCTGGCAGCCCCGGGAAGACTGGGCCAGCCCTGCCGAGCCCAGAGCAGCCGCGTCTCCTGCAGCAGCAGGGCACTTGAGTGGAAGCACTCGCTTCCCAAGAGCAAGAACTTGCTCCCAGGAGGGCCTGTCCAGAGACCCAGGGGACGGTGGACAGCCCAGCCCAGGGCTCCAGGCCTTTCCTGTAGGGGCCGAACTGTTACCACTTCAGGCTCTGCCAGCTTCCATTTGGTCTCTGTTGCATATTATTCTCTTCTTTTTACACCCTTTTAAAAATATAAAAACAGGCCGCAGGTAGGATTTGGCCCTCTGGCCTTTACAATAGCATCTGTGAGCATCACATGTGGCTTTTCTTTCTTTCTGAGACAGGGTCTCATCTGTCACCCAGGCTGGAGTGCATCGGTGTGATCACGGCTCACCACAGCCTCCAGCTCCCAGGCTCAGGCGATCCTCCCACCTCAGCCTCCCAAGTAGCTGGGACTGCAGGCACCCACCACTACGCCTAGCTGATGTTTGTATTTTCTTTCTTTTTGTAGAGATGGGGTTTCACCATGTTGCCCAGGCTGGTCTCCACCTCCTGGGCTCAAGCAATCCTCCTGCCTTAGCCTCCCAAAGTGCTAGGATGACAGGCGTGAGCTACCACGCCTGGCCCATATGCGGCTTTTAAAATTTCTGAGGTATAACACTAGTAAAGTGCTCTAAAAGTGAAGAATAGGATGTTAGCCCCACCCAGGTAAGATCTAGAACATTCCCGGCATTCCTATTCACCTTTCCGTTGGGAAGCCGCCATCCCACCCTCTGTCTCTAGTCTGCCTTTGCCAGCTCTGGAGCTCTCTGTAAGTCAGTCCTGCTGTGTGTATTCCTCGAGCCTGGCCTTGGTTGCTCTTCAGGTCAGGGACTCACCCGCATTGCCGTGGCAGGAGCTCATCCCAGTTTGAGTCATTGTGGAGTATTCCAGTGTGCGATTCTGCCACTGTCTGTTTTCCCATCCTCCCCCGGCGGGCATTTGTCCAGTGTTTGACTTTTGCTATTGCAACTAAAGCTGTGTGGAACATTCTAGAATGTGCCTTTGGTGACTGTGAGGATGCATTTCTGCTGTGTACATACTTAGGAGTGGAACTGCAGGGTCGCAAGTGGATATCCACACGCAGTTTTCCAGCGTGACCCATACCATAGGCCTCGTGGTGGTGCCGAGTCCCTATTCCAGCACTGAGGCAGGATCGCGCAGTGCCGAGTCCCTATTTCAGCACTGACAGGATCACACACACTTCAATGCCCCTCTCCTAGATCGTGGACACCCTGTGTGCCATCACAGAATGGCCCACACAAGAGGCCTCTAAAGCCCCGACACTGACATGGGTTGTTCTTGCTGGGGCTGCTAATGGAGCGGGTGCAGGTGAGGGTGCGGGTGAGGGCGCTGACGGGGCGGGCGCGGGTGATGGAGTGGGTGCGGGTGAGGGCACTGACGGGGCGGGCACGGGTGATGGAGTGGGTGCGGGTGAGGGCGCTGATGGGGCGGGCGCGGGTGATGGAGTGGGTGCGGGTGAGGGCACTGACGGGGCGGGCGCGGGTGAGGGCGCTGACGGGGCGGGCGCGGGTGATGGAGCGGGCGCGGGTGAGGGCGCTGACGGGGCGGGGCGGGTGCGGGTGAGGGTGCTGCACACTCGTCCCCTTGCCTGGTCCCCCAGGCTCATACTTTGGTGTGTGCTCATTCAGGAGCAGCAGAGTGGCCACACTTGGGAGGGCCAGCCAAGTGATCCCCACTGGTGCTGGCATCTGTGGGTGCCCCTGCTTGGAGCGGGTGCTGTCAACCACCCTTTGCTGGAAGGGGCAGGAATGTCCAGCAGTGGTGGAAGCTCTCGAAAGAACACGGGCTGGGAGTAGAACTCAGATCCCAGCTCTGCTCTCCCTGCTGTGTGACCTTCAGCAAGTCTCTGAACCTTTCTGAGCTGTTTCCTCACCTGTTCAAAATGGGGGTGACCATTTCTTCCTTGGAGGATGGAAGGGAGAGGGATGTGAGGCTCCTGAGTGCTGTGCTTGGAGACTGTGCAGGAGGGGAAGCAGCCGTAGCCCCATACAAGCGGGTGGGCGAGAAAGGGGGGGCACTGGAGGGGCTTGGGGGACAGGGTTCTGTCCTTGGGACCTGGACAAGAGCCAAAAGGTACACCCTCCCAGTCACAGGGGAGCCCACACTGCCATCCCCTCCCAGAGACTGCCCCTGTGGTCCCCGTCCAGGTCTATAGCCTCAGCAGTCCCTGAGGGCCAGGAGGTAGCCTCCAGGCCACTGGGCTGAGAACCCTTAAAAGAAAAAGCGCCCCACCCATGACAGTCATTTTAGGGTAAAGAAAGCCCTTTGCAGAAACCAAACCCTTTGAAAGGGATAACACGGCTTTTAGATGTGAGAACCAACTTCAAGCACTTCCTCTTAGACCAGGGTGGCAGCTTCCAAAGTGGGGGCGCTGCTGCCGGGAGGCTGCGGTTTCCCTGCTTCTCAGGGAGTTTAGGCCAGGCCGTGGGGTGATCCGAGCAACACGTCCCTTGGCAGTGGTAGGTTTGCAGATGGGCTGGTCCCCACTTCCTGCCAAGCTCCAGCAGCGCCTCTGTGGGTGCAAGGCTGTGGGGAGGGGCCTTCTGCTCACAGCCCTCCAGGCTGCCCACAGCCCCTAGGATGAGGTGCCACTTCCTCAGATGACTGTCAAGACTCTGGGATGTGGGCCGGGCAAGGTGGCTCACTACTGTAATTCCAGCACTTTGGGAGGCTGAGGCGGGCAAATCACTTGAGGTCAGGAGTTGGAGACCAGCCTGGCCAACATGGCGAAACCCCACCTCTACTAAAAAAATGCAAAAGTTAGCCGGGCATGGTGGCAGGTGCCTGTAGTCTCAGCTACTCACGAGCTGAGGCAGGAGAATTGCTTGAACCCAGGAGGCAGTGGTTGCAGTGAGCCAAGATCGCACCATTGCACTCCAGCCTGGGCAACAGAGTGACACTTGGTCTCAAAAAAAAAAAAAAAAGACTCTGGGATGTCTGCGCCTGGGGCTCTCCTCTCCCACCCATGTGTCTACCCATAGCCCCTGCCTGCCTTCAGGGCTCAGCCCACAGCCCATTCCAGAAAGTCTCCTGGCAGGGAGGGCCCGGAGGCCTCTGCACTGTCTCATGGCCTCATTCCTGTGTCCTCAGCATCCAGTGAGACCTCGGGAGATGCCTGGGGAATGGTTGAAGGCTTTGGGAGGTTCCTGCCCCCAGAATCCCAGCCAGAAAGCAGCTTATCCAGGAGCCCGGTGCCTCCTCTGTTGGGTGGGCGTGGCCTCAGACGGCACCAACCAGAAGGCATGTGCTGTCACTGACACGGGGGCCCCCAGCGTTAGGGCAGGCAGGAGCTCCGGGTCTCTACCCCCAGCTGTCCCCACAGTGCACATGTACTAGGCTCCCCCCATGGGCCACTAGGCCAGGCCAGGCGTGTGGGGTGAGCCCCTGGGGAGCCCAGAGCAGGGTACGTTCATGTCCCCAGCATCCAAGGTGAGATGCCTGTGCTGGAGGCTCAGAGGGAGCTGGGCTGGCTGTCACTGCACCACAAGGCTGAGCAGGCTCCCAGTGGGAGACAGGTTTGGGGAGGTGTCCAGGTTGAGGGCACAGTGTGCCTGAGTAGGGCACGGGGAGGAGGGGGATGGCCAGTGGCCACGGGCCAGGCTGCCTGGCAGGACCTGGAGGTTTCCTCAAGCTAAGGCCAGGCCCGTGCTAGATGCTGCGAGGGTGGGTGTGGCTGCAGAGTGGTCAACGTGGGGGCACCTACTAACCTCCGGCCATGCTCTCCAGGCCCAGTGACGAGCACCATCCGGAAGTGAAGGCTGATGGGTACGTGGACAACCTCGCAGAGGCGGTGGACCTGCTGCTGCAGCACACGGACAAGTGACAGCCTCCTGGGAGAGCCCTGCTTCCTCCACCCCTGCCTCTCCTCCACCCACCCCAGTGCCCAGACCACCCAAGGCCCTGACAGCCCTGCCCTCTGCCCTCTGCCCTGCTGCACGGGCAGGCATTTGTTCCCTGCCTGGGTGGCCTGCTCCCCTGCCTGGGCCCTGACTTCAGCTCACTGTACTGAAGTCCAGGAGGGTGGGACAGACCTGTCAGGCCTCTGGGAATCTCCCAAACCCCAGCACTCACTCACCCACCATGCGCACCTGGTCCTTTAAATGCGGGAAACTCCACCTAACCGGATTCAGAGGCACCGGCCCCGCTGCCTCCTCTTCAGACTCTTTGCATTTCAGTGAAGAGCCTGGAAGAAACCCAGGGGCCTCCTATGCACAGATCTTGCAGCCCAGAACCAAGTCAGCCTCCTGCGACTGCCTAGGCACACTGCCCACCACCCCACCCCCGAAACAATGCCAGCCCGCTGCTTTTCCTGTCCTCCCAGGCACCTTTGCAAAGACCAGGGGCAGCTCCTGAGGGAACTGTGAAGGCTCCCGTGCCACACAGCAAGAACTGCAGCCTCTGCGCCCAAGGCACACAGGGTACTTTCTGGAGCCATTGCTGGATAGACTTAAAGGTGTCATGCCTGGTGTGTGCAGGAGGAAACTAACAGTTCAATAAACTCCGCCTTGACCAGCAGCCTTTGACTGGGGCTTTGACTGTTAGGAAGAACTGTATGGGGGAAGCCACCAGCAGGGTCTGGGCCACTGTCTCTGGTCCTGCCTTATGCTTGAGCCATTGAATATCAGAGGTACGAGGGACAAGGGCCCTGAAACACCTCACCTGCTCCAGCCCCTTCACTTAGCAGATGGGGAAACTGAGGCCCAGGGGGCCAGTGAGCTGCTGTTGGCCCCATCTGGAACAAGGCAGTCCAGGGCAAACTTTGGCACTGCCTTCCCTAACGGAGCAGCCTGTGGCCTGGTAGTAGTGAGCGTTGCTTTCCCGACCAACGACATGGCGGCCTTCCCACAGGGCCCCTGGGAGCAAATCACCCATAACTCAAGTTTCAAGTTTCAGAATCAGTCAGCTCAACAGATGACTTGACTGCTCCATTTCTCCCCAGATCAGTTCAGAAGCTACTGATAACCCTTGGGAGACTGTTTCTTTATTTTATTTATTTAAGATGGAGTTTTGCTCTCGTTGCCCAGGCTGGAGTGCAGTGATCTCAGCTCACCGCAACCTCTGCCTCCCAAGTTCAAGCGATTCTCCTGCCTCAGCCTCCTGAGTAGCTGGGACTACAGGCGCCCACCACCACGCCTGGCTAACTTTTTGTATTTTTACTAGAGACAGGGTTTCACCATGTTGGTCAGGCTGATCTCAAACTCCCGACCTCAGGCTATCCGCCCACCTCGGCCTCCCAAAGTGCTGGGATTACAGGCGTGAGCCACCGCGCCGGGCCTGGAGACCGCTTCTTATGAGAGAAGCCATGGGTCCCCGGAACAGGATTTCCATCATATGAAGGTGGACGATGAAAAAGTGTGGGACCCACGTGAGGGAGGGGCAAGTGCAGCCCCCGCAAGGCCGGCCACCATTAAATCAGGATTGGGGAAAACGGTGATAGTCTTTTCAGCAAGGTGAGAGGCCACCAGCCAGGCCAGTGTCACTGGATTTGAGGGAGGCCATTTGGCCCCTTCGTTGGAAAATACGCAGATGACTGGCCCCTTGACGGAGTCCCCTGATGGCAGCTCCTTAGGAGACAACACAGGACGTTCAGGCGGCGGCTACAGTTCAGTGGCGGCCTGGAGGGGCTGTGCGTGATGCTGGGTTTGTCTGTGGGTCTTTAGTTTTTTCTCCTTTCTTTTGTGTTTAATGGGGAAGCTTCCAGCCAAGACAGCGACCCCTCTGGGGGAAAGAGTTCAAGCTGAGACCTGCTCTTTCCAGCTGCTGCCCAGGACTGGGGTGCCCAGAGGGATAGCCCCTGGAGGTGCAGACCCCTGCTTTGCTGGTGCCGGGAGCATGCCGCCCTCTGAGCCGTGGTGGGCTCAGTGAAGTGGGCGTTGTCATCCTTCCCATTGCACAGGACTAGAGTCGGGTGCAGCGAGCTACAGTGGCTTGCTGAGGGCAAACAGTTAGTGAGGGGTGGAGCTGCAACTTGCAGGAAGGTCCAGCCCCGCCTCCCAGGCCCTTTCCGGCCCGTTCCACTTCCCACTCCTGCCTGGAATCCTCCCGTGGGGGAGGCATGTGGTGGCCCCTGTGGCTGACTGTCCGGCTGAGCTGGGGAACCAGTGTCCTCGCTCTAGAGATGAGCTCTTCTGAGGGGTGAGGTCCAGCCACACCTGTGGTGGGGTGGTGTAATCCCTGAGCCTGTTACCCCATCTATAAAATAGGGGGATTCACTTCTTTAACAGGCACTTCCTGGCCCTGCGGGGCGCCCTGTCCCCTGGCTGGAGCTGATGAGTTGTGATGCTTGCCTGGGGATCGGTGCTGCCCAGAAGTGAGGAATGACGTCCTTACCCCCGGGTCCTTCTGGCAGCCTGGCCATTTCCAGCATGCTGAGGGGGGCCCGGGCCCTGGCAGGAACGGTGTGGAGCCACCGGCCACATGTGGGGCTGGAGTTCGGGGCTGGCAATGGGCTAAGGCCCTGTGTTCAGCACATGTCATGGAACTGCCATGAGAAAAAGACTCAACACCCAGGGCCACAGCTCCGGGGCGCTCCCAGGCGTCTTTCCCCCCATGGCCCGTAGTGAGCAGCAGCCTGGGCCCAGCCACACCTCCCAGGCTCCGGAGCTGCCAGGTCAGGCAACCGTGAGTAGCAGCAGGGTAGGGGGCGGAGGGGAGGGCAGGGAGAGCAGGTCTCTCACCCATCCTTGCACCTTCCAGCTCTAGGGCCCACACAGTACCAAGCCCTGGGCTCAATGTACCACCTATGAAAACTCAATTCAAATTGGCTTAGTCCAACAAGAGATTTGGTAGCCTCACAAGACTTCAAAGCCCAGGCCTGGCTGGGTCTGGGGTCCCAATCGCTGTCACAGGAACCCCATCTCTTCCCATCGCAGCTACTTGGCAGGTGGCAGGATGCCCCCCAGCCACCGACTTCCCCCTGCCTGCTCAGCAACCCCAGGGCCTGCAGAAAAGGCCCAGGAGATTCAGACTGGCAAAGAGACCAGGGCAGACCAGGAACAGGGGCGCAGTCTCTGTCCCACCCAAACCCTAACCAGAGAGAAGACGACATGTTGTGTCGGACGGAGGACAGAGGCCAGCGAGTGTCCATGCCCTCATCGCTGACAAGGCTGGGACTGGGCCAAGTGAGGCAGAGGCCTTCACGTCAGATGTGAGCACCACTGGCCCAGGTGACTGCAGTTCTTCCCTCCTTCCGCTCAGCTTGAGCCCTCTGGAGGATCGGAAAGGCTGAGGCCTGACTTGGTGCCGCTGTCCTGGGTGGGCCTGTCCTGCTGGGCGGTTCCTGCCCCTCTCGGGGAGGCTGGCTGGCAGCTGGCAGGTAGAAAGACTCCTGTGTTCACCTCAGGGCAGAGGTGGGGACACAGGGCGGGATGGGCGAGGGTGGCGCACCTCTGGGGTGGGCGCTCTTGGGTCCGCCTTCCGTCCCAGAGTGCATGTCAACAGTTCCATCTGCCCCTCTCAGAACTGTCCTGGTTTAGGTGGTAAACACACTGGGCAGCCTACATTCTACATGGCTTTTTTTTTTTAACATTATAAAAGCAGTATGTGTTATTACGGGAAATTTAACAGAAGAGTATATAAAAAGAAACCAGAAGTCACTCGGGAGTCTGAGCACTGTGCTCTCTGGGGCCTTTCCTTCCGGCCTTCTTCCTTCCAGCCCTTTCCCTGCACACTGGACAGAGTGACTGTCCAGGGTGGCCGTGGGGTTAACACTGATTCTCTCTCGTAAGCACACAAGGTTATGATCGCTGTGCAGATAAGGAGACTACACGCGTGTCTCATGTCAGAAGCACCTGCGCCTGGCCTGGAGTGAGGCCTGAGGCCAGGCCCCATGTGGGGGCAGAATGGAGCTGCTACCCAGCCAGGGACCTCATCTAGGGATTGGGGACGGCAAGGGGCTGGTAAGGGCCAGAGGTTCTTCCAGGGCCACTCTGTGCCCTACCCTCAGGTGGGAAACAACGGTGGGGGCACTGCGCTTGGTAGAAGCCCCCAGCTGGCCTCTGGCCTGCCAGTCATCCGTCAGATATGGAGGCAGGGGTGAGGTACGCTGGGGAAGTCAATGCGCCCAGCCTCGCATCAGTGAGTCCCTGGGCCTTGGGTAAGGCAGGGCTGCAGGGATGGCAGTGAGGACGAGGGCCTCACCTCCCAGCAGCAGCCCTGCTTCACCTGTTTCTTGAGTTCAGTGTTCATAGACTTAAAAAAAAAAAAAATCTTGCTAAAAGGAAAAACAAACCAAAAGAGAAGTGGGGGCTGCAGAGCCTCATTCCCAGAGGGCTGCTCTGGCCCTAACAAGCGTTCTAGGCCAGACTTCCATGGGCAGGTCATGTGGGCAAGTGCTGAGCTATGGAAATCAAGCAAACCTCTCCACGCCTGTCCTCCAGGCCACAAACACCCCCCATCTCCTGAGTCCGGGTAAGCAGAGGGCCACGCACGGAGACGGTGGCCCACGCTGGGCTGGGCTCCATGCTTCTGGGGCCCCGCAACTCACGCAGCAGAAGTCTGCACTGTGCTGCCTGCAGCGGGGGCAGAAGCCCGGAGCTGGTGAACCTGTCTATGCCACCTCAACCACCCTGGTGGGTGGGTGGCGGGGGCCATCCCAGGCCCCTCAGGGCTCCGGGCCAGGCTGGGCCCCTCTCCGCACACTGCCGTACGGCCTTACCTCCCAGCGCTGTAGAAGCCTGAGCTGATGTGCTCAGAAGGGCCGGCTCCTCCATGGCTTCTAACTCAAGTGACACAAGGAGTGTCTCCCCACTGCTGTCCTGGGGCTCCTGGCCAGAGCCAGGAGAGCCCAGCCCTAGAAGGGCTCCCCATGATGCAGCTGTGACCACGGGCAGGCCTTCTCCCATCCCCCAGCCTCTCCATAGCTCTGTGATGTCTGCTAGCCCCATTTTATCGATTCAGACCCCGAAGCTTGGAGGGGACAGAAGGGTCCAATCTATGTCCCTCTCAGCCCAGAGCTAATGCTCCTGTGAGCAGGAGGGACCTGCCGGTTCACCACACCCCACAGAAACCACACAGCTGACACTAGGAACTTGGGTATTGAACCAGGAAGCTTTATTTACACAGTAAAAGTAACAAGCAAATTCCTGAGAGACTAGAGCGGCTGGAGCGCGAGCCACGGCCTGTGCGGGGAGGCCAGGCTGCAGGGGCAGGCAGGCCCTGGGCCCGGGTCTACGCTTTCTGGTCGCCACACTTCCTGAAGCTCTGCAACACCCACAACATCCAGCTCAGGGAAGCTCCTGCAACCCCAGAAACAGCCTATGTGCTATCTGTCACCCAAGCCCCCAGGACAGCTTCCCCACGCACTGAAAACACAAATCATTTGCCAAAAAGACTACGCTAGGTCAGACTATCCTATCTAGGCTACAAGATCTCCACTTCGGTCTGCCATTAAAAAACAAAACAAAACAAAACCTTTCTCTTTTCTCTTTAAAGAGGCATGACAGAGGGGTTTGACCAACAGCGTGGACATGGCAAGGTGCGGCATCATTGCCAGTGTGGGGCCAGGGTGCCTGATCCCGGTGCGCGGCGAGCCTGCTGCATCCCTGCCGGCTGACGTCTGGAATGACCATCATTCAAGTGACCACCCCCCAATAGTCACAGACGGCACGTCAGTGGAAACGGGGGTGCAGCAGGCATGACACCACGGCCGAGCCCGCAGCAGGGGCCCAGGGGTCCCGCAGCTAGGGGAGCTTGCTCAGACAGGCAGCACACCCAGTGCGTGGCCACTCACGCCCCTGCACCAGGAGACCCATTTGGAAGTTGGGGTTTGTTTTCTTTTTAATGTAGACTTCCCCTTTATTTAAATTTCCTTTCAGTGTACAAATTCACAAAACTGGCTACAAAAATTTGGTTGAAAAGTAAGGCTTTCTGAGAATGAAAATCTGTACGTCTGGTCAGAACAAGCTCCCCGTGGGCCTAGATGCACGTCTGTCCGTGCAACTCTGGCCTCCACCGTGAGTAAGGCAAGAGGGTGTGGCAACGAAAATGGCGAGGCTGTGGTCCCGGCCCCCAGGCCCCACAGGTGGACGGCAGCCCCTGGCAGTTTGGTGGCTTTGAAATGAGTGGGATGCACGTGGCGCTAAGCCCCTCCTCCCACTCGGCTTTCCTGTAGGCTTAGCCCGCTCTTCAGGGCCCACGAGCAGGCAGATGGCCTGGCACGGCTTGCTCCTGGCTCTGGCCTTCCTTGGTCTCCCCTCAGAGGCAGGGTTCGCGGGCAAGGCTGTGACAAAAGCGAGGCTCCTGCCGCTGCCCCCAGCTGGGGCCCTCATGCTGGTGGGGGTGAGCTGTCTGCCTGCTGCCCGGGGGGACAGCAACGTGGGGGGCACCTCCTGGGCAAGCCTCCCTCCCAGAGGACTGAGATCAGAAGTCCTGGGGCCAGCAGGGTGGAGTGCAGGAACAGGCCGCTCTGGGCTGTGTGGCGGCTTGGATGATGGGGTGGCACCTTATAGACAGGGTCTACTCTCTCCAGTCAAGAGACAAACACGAAACCAGCTGAAGGCCATTTCTTTCTCTAAGCAGAAGGGACAGCCACCATCTTCTCCCGACTGCTGCGTGGTGGGCTCAGGCTAGGAGCAGTGGTGGCCCAGGACAGGCAGCTGGGCTAGGGGTGACAGTGGCACAGGACAGGCAGGTGGGGTCTGAGGAGGCTGGGCCATTTCTGCCTAAGCGCCCGGAGGCTGGGCTTGCTGGTCAATGGGACCACCTTGCAGGGAGGTGGGGAGGTGGCTGTGACTCGGCCAGCTCCACAGCTTGTCCCTCCCTGCCACCAGGCCTGAGTGGGGAGGTGGCAGGCAGGGTTTGAGGGCAGGTCACCCACACCCCAGTCCCATGACACATACCTGTCACCATGTGCCTCCCACCTCTACCCTAAGCAAAGGTAGCTGGGGGCTGCTGCACGCCTTAGCCTCGGCTGGCACCGCCCGCCTCCCTCACTGCCTCTGCCTTCCACAGGAAGGCCTGCTTTAGAGGCTGTGTGCCCTCGGTGGCCACACCGGCTGTGTGACGCCAGGACCCCTCGTGCCCGGTGGTACTCTGGGAGTGAGGCATGGCCATGTGCTCTCCACATTCACCCAGCAACTGCCCCGGTCTCCTCTAAGAAGGATTTGCTCTAAGAAGACATGGTCTCCATGACCCCCAGGCAGGGACAGGCCAAGATGTCTCTGCTCAGAGCCACCAGCTCTTGGGTTTGGCTGTCCAGGATCACAAGGAGATGTGCCTCTGGCAGGAGCTACAGCGACCAGAGGCGAGCTGGTTCCCCCGCTCTGGGACCTGCCCAGTGCCCGGCATACCCCCATGTGCCACCCACCCTGGGATGGCAACAGCATCTCTCAGGGCCGTGGAGCTGGGGGCTTTCTGCCAGCTTCTTATAGCTGATTTGTAAGAAGTGCCACCCACATATTGGGAACTTGAACCACCATCCTTTTGATGTAGTAAAAAAAAAAGAAGGTTTAAACAAGGTTTCCCAAAAAGCAGCTTTCTTGAGGAGAAAGGCGAGAAGCATCTGGACTCGACCTGCAGAAGCAAGGCGTTCACTCGTCCATGGAAGACGAGTAAAAGCAAAATGACTACAAAAGTGCTTTTAACGCATGTCAGCTAACGCGAGGGAGCACACCAGTTATTTTTAGCCTTATGGGAAAATGAGCCACTTACTCCTAAGCCAGCCCAATTGCTATTGTCTGCAGAAGACGCCAAATTCACTAAAGCCAGATTCCCATAGAGCAGAGCCCATGTGGTGGTATCTGCAAGGTGGCAGGAGAGCAGCTACAAACCCGGAGAGGACAGCAAACCCTCAGGGGGCTAGGCTCCTTGGATGCCCCAGGGTGAGAAGCCAGGGCGGGGTAGGGGCAGGGAGTATCAGTCCAGCTTTGTGCCCATGGCTGGGCCTACGACAGAGATGCAGCCCTCAGGACTGGGCTCCCCCTAAGCTGACAAGGGCGGGGGTTTGTCTTGAGGTGGGTGGTGTGCCCTGGTTACAGCCAGCAGTCCTCAAGGACAAATGGGAGGTGCGTGGAATCCTGCAGGGGCCTCTGCAGATTGGTCAGCGGACGCCCTTCACCCCTGAATGGGCACAGGGCCTGCAGCTGTCCACCTGCCCCCAGCTCCTGTCTCCCAAGGCCATTTTCAAGAGGCTGCCCTGGTATCGTGCCATCCCTACACTCACCAGAACCAACCACACTTATCACTCAGTGACCAGTCAACCACAGAGAAGGGCTGCATCTACTAACCCTGCCCCAGCGGTGGCAGAGCGATGGGGTCAGGCTCTCCATGCTGCAGGAGAGGCAAGAGAGTCCGTTCAGAAAACAGACCCACCAAATTTCTGCCCAACATGGAAGGCCCTAACATGCACCCCTCCAAACTGTTCCTTGGGCCCGAGACTCCGGACATGGGCTTACCCTCTGGGGGGCCAGTCCAGCACCCCAGGGATTCTGTCTCTCACATTGGAATTAAGGCCAAATGGTTCTGGTGTTACAGAAGGAAGCATCTCCCGAACCTTCCCAAGCCTGAAGCAGGGAGACCTGGGAGAGAAGGCACGGAGTAAAACTGAGTGAAAGAAGCTGCGGGACCGGCTCTCCAAAAGTGAACCTGAGCGAGGCCAAGAAGGACCCTGACACAGCAGATGGCCCCTGGCCCCCACCCCAGGCCCTCCCTGACAGCCCCCACCAGGGGGATACAGAGCGGTGCCCAGCTCTGCCGGGGACAACAGAGACTGCCCAACATCCCAGGGGGGAAAGAGGCAGAAAAGACGCAAACTCCAAAGCTGTCCTCTGGGCTGCAGTAGTTCTGTAGACCTGGTGACTGCCACACTCGGGGAGCCGGTGAGAGGCTGACACACCCACTGTGTGACGCGGCCAGGTCAGGCTCTCCCCAAGGCAGCGGGTGGGCTCCCTCTCTGGGACCCGACACCCCACTCAGGAAACTTTCATTAGGCCCACGAGTTGGGCTCCCCTTCCAGGGCCCACCTAGTGCCCAAAGGGAGGGCTGTCGATGCCAGCACACCCCAGCCAGCCCTGCCTGGGCCCACACGTCCCCTCAGTTCTTCTCTATCTGCTCGATGTCCAACTCGCCATCCAGGGAGCAGAGGCTGTTCCCGGGGACCCCGCGGTCCCGCCAGGCTGCGGCTGGCTCTGCTCTCCTGCCGCAATCCTCATCCAGGGCACAGCCGTCTGACTCCTCACAGGACAGGTCCTCCTGGCAGGCGAGGTGGTCGTCGAAGGAAGAGGGAAGAGGTTCAGGGACCGGGGTCCCAGCGGGGGTCCTGCCCCCTGGGCCGGAGGCTGAGAGCAGGGCGGTCCAGGCCCTGGTGTTGCTGACGTGGCGGGCGAAGGGGCTCTGGGGACCGCAGTCCTCTGTCCCTGCGCTCAGGCAGCTGAGGCTGCTGAAGGTCTGACAGTTCTGTGGAGGGGCAGACACACAGGTTACTAAGGGTTACTCCCCTCCCAGAGCCCCAGGACTGCACACCCCACAAAGCGACTGGACCACCAGGCTGTGGCAAGACCAATCGAGTCCCGGGTTCCTCCCATCCAGGCAAGGACAGGGGCCATGAGCAACGCACTCATGAAGATGCACCTCCGGCCAATGAGTGCTCTGTGCTCATAAAGACACGCTCAATTCCATTCTTCACCTACTAACTCGGCAAAGCACACAAATTTGATGCAGGCCCAGTTCTGGGGAGCTGCAGTGAAACAGAAATGCTCCTAACACTCTGTCCACAGCCTTTCTGAAGCGCAACCTGGGAAAAATGTATCCAATTCCTTGATCAGGTAATTTCACTACTCGGATTTTTGTGTTAAGAAAACATTCTAAGATGTGTGTAAAACTTCGGCAACATACTGTTAAACAGAAAAGAAGACAGCAACCCAAACGCCCTACAATGGTGGTGAAATCAATGATGTTTTTCAGGCAGGACCTCTATGCAAACATAACTGACGCACCGCGATGCTCCCCTTGAGAAGAGATCTGACTCGGAGGAAACGCCAGGCTGTACTGCCAGACAGGGTGACACGACGCCCACTCTACCGCACTCTCCACAACCAGAGTGGGAGACACAGGCTAGAAGGGGCCGAGCTGAAGTCCTGAGCCTCGTGTGTAATAGAGTCACGCAGGGAGCTGGGGAAACATGAGTTCTCGGCCTCACCTGGAGACGCCGAGCCTCTAGAAAGGAGTGGCCCCATGCCCTCCACAGGTGCTGGGGCCTGGGGGGTCTGAGCTGCTGAGGAGAGGCCAAGCTCCAGGTTCTAGTGCTCACCAGCTCCCTGCCTGCCTTGCTGGGCCCCTTGAGGCCCCAGAGAGAGAGTAGGCTGCACAAAAGCTTCTCCGCCCACCAAGTGCTCCCTCTGTGTGGGGCCTGGCCTGGGGCAGGAGGCAGCCTGGGGCCTTCTCCAGTGGCAGGTATGGCTTGAAGAGGATGGATTTCAAGGGTACGCAAGCCAGTTCTGCTTGGCGTCAGCTGCCAGCGATGGGGGCAGGGCTGACACTGTGCACAAGTGTGTGCAGTTCAACACCTGCTCCCAGGACAGAGCACAAAATCCAGCCTTCTCCTCAGAATGATGCACACTCCACAGTCCAGCCACAGACAGGACGGAGGCTGGGACAGTGAGGGGCACTCCCGGCCCAGTCCTGGATATCCTTAACAGGACTGCAACAACAAGGTCACATACCAGAGGGGAGCGAGGGAAGAACTGCGCACAGAGGGCAGGGGGGAATTCCAGCCTTTGGTCTCTTCCCGGCAGACGGGTGGACTGTGGGAGCAAAGCAGGGCTTGGAGCACCCACCTCCTCCCTCCGCCGCACGCCTGCCGACGCCAAGACCACAGACCTGTCCCGAGGGCCTGATCCTTTCAAAGGCTGCAGTGTTTGTGTGTCTCTTTGAAATACAGGTGACCACCGGCTGTCACAGCCAACAAGCTGTTGAACCAGCCTCAGCGAACGGGAAATCAAAGGTGCTGTCTCTGGAGGAAGGTGTATGTGCCTGCCATGGGCACGCTCATTGTTCCTGAACACTGCATGGCAGAAGCCGTTCTGATGGGTTTGCTTTTCTTGACATCTTTTGATTAGCTGAGAAAGGTGAAGGCTGAGGTGCTGCAGGGAGCTCTGCACGGGGACTCAGGAGAGGGGCAGGGGCACCCATTAGACTGAAGATGCTGGCCCAGGCCGCTGAGGGAGCCCCGTCCCTGCAGCTGGCCCCCCACGGAACCACAGGTCCACCCTCTGGGCCATGGTGGGATTTGACACAGCCCAGTGGTGTGCACACAGCACACTCCCCCAACCATAACAGAGGGCTGGAGACGGCAACCCCTGCACAACAGCCCCAGGATCCTCGCCTGCCCCTGGTCAGGCCTTGGCGATGGACCAGCACCTGGGATCCTCGCCTGTCCCCGGCCAGGCCTGGATGATGGACCAGCATCCAGGATCCTCACCTGCCCCCGGCCAGGCATGGACGATGGACCAGCACCCAGGATCCTCACCTGCCCCCGGCCAGGCCTGGGCGATGGACCAGCAGCTCCCAAGGCAAACCTGCCGCTTGTAAGGTGGAGGCCTCAGTGCTTTTGAGGGGGAAGGTCTCTGAGGCTCCTCCTGCTTCTCAGCCACCCTCTTGACTGGCCTAGACCTGAGCCAGGACAGAAGGAAAACTGAGTAGGGGGCACAAAACAGGGGCAAGAAGGCCCACCCTGGGTGACCTCAGCCATGTGTCCCAGGCTCTGCTGAGCCAGGCTGCCCCGACAGAGGAGGCCTAGGATGAGACCAGGATGCATCAGAGCCTGAGGTCCCCAGGGAGCCAGACCCACCCTCTCCCGACCCTGAGCAGTCTGTTTCTTGGCCTGTATAGAAGCCGTGGTATGTAAGAATAAATAATCACGTCCAGTCAAGGCCACAGCAGCCTGGATGATGTGCTGTGAACAGGTTCTAGGTGGGTGACAGGTACTGAGGCTGACTGCCTTGGGTGTCAGCCACATCTGCTGAGACCAGTGTGCTTGACACCCGAACGCGTGCTCGCGTTTTCTGCGAGCTGTCATGTGAAGGGCCTGGACGTGGTCTGCTGCCAGTGTTTTCTGTGGCCTCTCACGTGAACAGAGCAGGAGCGCAGCCTGCGCACTCGGACAGAAGCCGCACAGCGCTTGTCTGTGCTCACCTTCTCGGTCCTGCTCGGAGCTTCCCACTGACCGCCTCTGGCAAAAGGTGCAAGTGGCAGGGGTGTCTAACTTATGGCCACCATGACTGTGTGGGTCTGGGCACTAATCGTGGTGCTACGGTCTAAATGTGTGCCCCCCCGCCCCCCGCCCATTCCTATGTTGAAATCTAAGCCTCTGTGCAAAAGTATAAAGAGGTGGGGCCTCTGGGAGGTGATGAGGTCATGTAGGGGCCTTCACAGATGAGATGAGGTCTCATAACAGAGGGAGTGCAGGTGCCTCTCTCGCCAGGTAAGGATGTGAGAAAGTGCCAACTATGAAGAGCAGGCCCTCACAAGACCCCAAGCCTGCTGGCACCTGGATCTTGGACTTCCCAGCTTCTAAGTAAGAGAAATACATTTCTGTGGTTTGTAAGTTCCCCAGTCTAAGGCATCTTTGTCACAGCAGCCCAAACAAAGTAAGACATGTTATGCGTTAGCCACAGCCAGGCGCGGGCGCTGGGGACCCATTAGCTGGACCTGTCACAGACGTGTGGCTTTGGCCTCACTGTGCTCTGGAAGGGGCTGAGGTTAGACAGGCAACACGGAGGCAGACTCCGTCCGCATGGGCATCACGGCGCCAGGCAACTCTTCCACCTCTGGGCGGCGGCCGGCCTGCCTGCCAAGTCAGGGTGTTCAGGGCTCTCTGGACCAATTGGGCCCTTTCTGCTGTGATGCAGGGGGAGTCTACAAGGAAGGGCTGGTGAACCTCATCACAAGCAAACCCCAGAATGCCACTCAGCCCCCAATATCTTCAAATATACCAGCTCCTTGGCCACAAAGCTAGCGAAACCTTGAGAACTCTGTTGACTCAAAACAGCCATTTCAGCCACAGTGAGAGAAAGCCAAGAACCACCCACGGTTTGCCCCAGCTGGTGGCGAGCCCCACCTGTCAGGAAGGAATGTGACTGCCACAATGGGGCGGTGTGTGTTCTGCCCAGAGCCCCACCCCTCGTGAACAACCCCCAGGCAGACACCCAGGGTGTCTGTGCACTGTGCCCTCCGTGCCCCGGGGGCAAGGTCCCGCCCAGCATCTCCTAGCAGCTCCAGCTACCCCATGGAAGAACACTGCATAGGCAAGTTGGAAGCCTGGAGGCCTGTGTGCCCTCAAAAATGTCTGCAAAAAGCTGCAAAATGGCTAAGTTCAAAGTGCCGTATGAACACATTATTCCAAGGTGAAACTGCTGCTCCAGGACCAACTGTCCCCCAGCCCGCCGACTTCTGCTCTCTTGACATCCAGCCCCAGCTCTGGGCTGGGCCACCTACTGTGGCACAGGCCTACCCAGGTAAAAAAAGCTCAGTGGAAACTGTCCACATGGCCTCAGGCCAGTGACCAGGGACATGGATCAAGACCTACTCCTAGAGTCTGCAAAAGGCAGACCACAGCAGCCTGCCAGAGAGGCAACTTTGGGATGGAGGCCCTGCCTTTTCCATCAGACCCCCCTAGACCTCAGCTCTAGACACAACAGAGGCCCTGGCCATTCCTTGGTCATTCCCACCGGCCCCAGCCGGCCTCCCCAGGGCTTCCCAGCTAGGAGCAATGATCCTTCTTCTGCAGGGCTCCTCTGTGCAGATATTTATTCCTATACTTTCTCCTGAGTGGGAGGTCCCTGGCTGGGCACGGGGATACAGACGAAGGTGGCCTGGTCCTTGCCTTCTAGGTACAAGCTGAAATCCAGTTCCGCCTCAGCAAACTCATTGACTCAACATATCAGTTCTGTACTGCTGCCAGGCAGACCACCACTCACTCTGTCCAGCCTCAGCCCAACAAGTTCATTCCCTCTGCCAGGTGCTGCTGTTCCTGGGCCAGCAGGGTGAACACGTAGTAGAGACTCTAGAAACATCTCCTGAGCAGAACTAAACCCCATGTTTTATCAGTAGTGACCGAGAACCCACTCTGGGCTGTGAAGGGCAAGGTCTGGGGAGTGGAGGGGAAACAGCCCCAGGATTTCTCTAGGGACTGCTGCCTGGGGCCTGGGAGTCCCCAGAACTCATGAACTACACCCCCATGTGCAGGAGTGGGCATCCGGTGACAAAGACAAAGCTGGCTGGTCAGGTGATGTGTCTGGGAGCAGACAGTGACCACTCCCCTTTGTCCTGGTTGTCTCCTCCAAAGGAGGCCAGGACATTCTCATCCCCTGGGCCCTGGCTCTCCCCAGAACCTGGAGGGTTCCGGAGAGGAGAGTGGGGAACTAGATTCTGCAGTTGGAGGCACTGAGTTCCTCCAC